CTGCAAGCCGTAGCCTTTCGGTAGGTGACTCCTACGGTCAAGAATGCCAGACATCACCTCTCTACAAGTCACCCCAAGGTTACACGGGGTTTTGCACTGAAATCATCAGCGCTATGCTAAACCCAGCCTTTCCTCCAGCAAAGCGCAAGGCTGGAGAGATGGGGCTGGAGCTGAAAAACAGGGCAGCCACAGCCCGTTATTTGCATAATGAACATACACACACACAAAAACCCTAGCAAAAGCAAATCACGCCAACAATCACCAGGCTTTCAGTTTCAGGCAGAAGGAGATAAGTTTTGCATTAGTCTGCTGCTCACAAAACCATCCCCAGCGTCCAGCGCGGCTGCCCGGGCTCTGGGTGCACAGGGAGGGTACGGCTCTGGCAGCACAGCTTTGCTCCGGGGTCAGTTGTGCCACTGCTGCCCGATCCTACACGCGACACGAACTGGGTGCAGGGGCAATCAGCAGCCCAGCACGCTTGTTAAATGAGCGCAGATACCTGGCATGTAACAGCGTCTGGCCGAGACGCAGCGGGGACGCGTTGTAGCTGGTCCGGTCCCCGGCAGGAAGAGGAAGCAGTTCTGCTAAGTCTGCTGCGAGGTGCAGGTTTCTGCCTTTCAGGAGAGCAGGAGGCTGGGCAAGAGGCAGGTCTTGGGTTGCTGCCCTCCACGGCACAGCAAAGACAATAAAAATCCACAAGGATTTGGAAGAACAACCACGAGGAAGAGGAGATTCCGCTTTCCAGGTCTGCGTCCACAGGCTCAGGTCTGGAGCAACCCAAGCGTCTCTCTACCAAATGCAACCACACAAGAGCCCAGGTGTTCCCCACCAGCAGATTATCCCCACCAGAGCCTGTCACAGGTGAGGCCCAGACAATCCAATGCCGAGCTCGTATCAGCAATGCAGAAAAGCTGGCTCGAGCTTACCCCAGCCCCGGCTCCATCGCGGCACCGCCAAGACGCAGACCCTGAATCAGTCTGGTTGAGGGGAACCACTGCAAGCCCCCCAGAAGCTGCTGAAGCTCACAGCTTAAAATAATAAGATGATGACTAACTGCTGAAACACAGCTGTTATTTTTATGGCTTATTTGCTTATTTAGTCTACCACAAAAAGATAAAATGTTGTTAAAAATCTCCTCTCCAGCAGCCAAGCCTCCCTTAAAAGAAAAGGCTTATTTGCTCATTAGGAGGGGGGTTGCCCAGCCCACTGTTTCAGAAGGACGCTGACGCCAAAATTGGCCACAGCACGTGTGGAGCCAATGCCGCTTTCCTTTCCCCAGACTCCTCATCCTTAAAACCCCCCAAACGTGCCAGCTCCGCTCGCGCCTGAGCTCGAACGACCGCTCACCCATCGCCACCCCACGTCCTCCTCTGAACACCGACTCAGACGCAATTCTCCCTCTCCACACCACATTCCTGCGCTGGTCCCATACCAGGTCATGTTAAAACACATTCAAAGGATCCCGCCCTTGCAAACCATCCGGCTGTGCCCACCACACAGCCCTTCAAACGCTCACACGGTTTTTGAGATCCACTTTCCAATCGAAGCCACAGCCACACCAGCCCTCGCAAGCAAGGGGCTCCAAAACGCTGCCCAGCCCCGGGTTTGGCAGGGGCACGGAGGACTGCACACTCACCCTCGATGCCAAGAGCACCCGAAGGGCTTCCCACCGTGCGTTTTTGGCCCAGGAGCGGCGGGCA